GTAAAACCTTTTCTTTTTGCTTAAGCCATAGGGTCATTTGAACGTATTCCTCCTTCCGGTTAGTCGCACCGTACGCCTCTTTAGCGAGATCAATGTGGAGACGCTCAGTATACTCGGTGTTAAAGTTGTCAGCTGCATCAAGAGCCTCAATAAAATACCGATAGTGCCAGAGGAAGTGAAGCTTTGGGAAGTGGAAGTGTGAGCGAATGCCGAGGTCCTCGAAAATCTTCTTGTTCTCATGAAATCGTCAAAGCGCCTCTTTGAGAGCATTTAGAGTGGCTGTACTGTGGACAGGATACTGCGCAAGGTAAACAAAATCTAACAAAGCACGGACAGCCTTAACAAGGCGTACAGAAGACATTCCACCAGGTAGGCGCATGCCAATAACCAGTCCAAGAAGGATCTGGCAGATGTCGGTATGCTCACGTTCAGTCAGACGTGACAACTTGGTGATACCCTTGAAGAAGGACCAGACATTGTGGTTCGGAGGCAGACAATGACAGCGAGCGTTGATCTCATCTTTGCTGTATGCGGCCTTGACCCAAGCCACGAGATACTTGATCACTCCTTGAAGGAGCTGATGCAGGATATCAGAGATGATTGCAGAGTAAACGTCTGAGTATGGCAGCTGTTCCCAGAACGGTTGATATACAGGCTTTATTCCTACACTGCTACATGCATGAGCGTACTCCGCATCTGATAACGTGTCGACCTTTCTGAGGACATCAAGCACAGCATTGATGTCTCGCATTAGATATTTAGGGCCCAGATCTCCAAGCTCATTGCGCGGCTGAGTACAAATGACGCAGTCACCAGACTTCACGCAGGTGACCAAGACTTGTTCAGAGTAGTCGCCGACGTATGCTGCAAAGATTGGGTGTACACGTTGAGAGACGCCATCACCACTCATCATAGCACAACCTTCAAGGCCGACGCTCTCCAGAGATGCAAGGATCATGCGGAGGCAGGCATGAAAGAGGTTCGCTTGCGTTTGGCGTCTTGCTGCCTTACTCTTGATGTGCTCAAGTTTTGTTGTGGGAAGGTATGCGAGAATCACCTGTCTGCCTTGGGATGGCTTGCTACGAATGTCTTTAGGCAAGTTTCCTATCGTAAGATACACCGAATACGCTGCCTTGTTACGGAACAAGGTGACTTGCGTTTTGTTGGAGAATATAACAATAGGAATGATGGTAGCCCCAGGCGTCTCCTTCTCCATCGCTTTCTACAAATTTATCTACAGTGAGTACGTGCCTAGAATATAATATCAAAATAGCTCACTTGCGCTGCCCACCACCATTTACCAGTATGCATGTCATAGAAGAGACACATGGTCTGATCAGAGTCCACATAGTGCTGCTCAGGTAAGAAGATAAGATGGCGAGCAAACTCTGGCTCGCCGTAGAGTGCACGAATACACTCTAGGACATCACGGAAGTATACATCGTAGCTCTCTCTGGCAATGATAATCTCTTCACGGGTGAAGCGTGGACGAGGGGAAGGTAACAAGTCCACGAGCTTGTCAATCTCTGGAACGTTCTTGTACGACAACCCAAGCTTCTCCTGTAGCTACACAATTGACGGCATGTCAGCATTTTGCATTAGCTGCAAGCAGGGTAGCACGTACGCCGTTGATTTTAAAAGC